AAAAATATGCTTTATAAAGAATAAAGACCTAAAAAGTCCATTTCGCATAGCAAGTACAGCTTTAGAGTATATTTTCAGTAATTTCAGTCAAAATCAATATCCAAAAGCTTTAATAAATAAAAAATGAAGGATAAAGACACGGTGTTGCCGAAACAATTGTCATGTAAAAATATATAATTTCGTGAAAATCGGAGTTTTTAGTTTTAATTTATTTTGACAAATGGATTTTCATCAAGCAAAGGCCGCCTCAGTTCAAAAGACTTAATGTTTCCCTCGAAATCTTCGGTTTAGGTTAGGGTAGTGTAACATATTTTTTACAGCTGTAACTTATGTCATCTTGGAGCTTGGTTCTCTTTATAAATTTTCCATACTTGTAAACTGCTTTTAGTACAAGCAACCTTTCCTGTCAAACCTTTCTGCTGTTAAGCGGGTTAATTGGCAGATTTGCAAATTTGATTAGTACTCAGTTAGTTCTGTGGCCGAGTTAAGATTCTTGCTTAGAGCGATGATAGTTTTGGACTTTACCTCTGGAGATTGGATGAGACACGCTGAAATAACGGTCTTTTCTGTGTCTGCTGCGCGATCAACTAGCGATAGCGATACATTTGATTCTTAAAAGGTAACATAATAGTAACGCTGTAATTAACTAATTTGTGCAGTTGTTCCAGCATAAAGTTTTTTTAAACTAAGTATAACTTTAATTAAACAGTACCAAGATAAGGTCGCTCTCTAATTTTCCCTACCTCTACTATTTCCGTTGCTGTGATAACTCATTCTCTTCATAAAATAAGAGCAGTTTGTTAGTTTTCCGTAACAGCGTTCAAGAACTGGTTTCTTTTCCCTTGGAAGAGTTGGCTTAAGATACTATGTACAGAGATTTCGATATTCTCATTAACAAATGTAGCTATTTAATGAGAGTAAGCACTTGGTAATAAAAGAATAGGCGGTTTGTGGCACCCAAACAACAAATCCCTCTCAATGGTAGCGTTGCAATCAAAACACCATGTTTACCACGCCATAAGCGGTTCGAAAATCGGCCATAACGGAGCAATACGGGATGCGAGTCCACAATAAAACTTTAGCATCGCGCTTCTGCCGGCATAGTCGGCGGGATTGGCTATCAGAAAGACGTTCCACGATGGGGATTTTAATAAGGGGGCACTAAAATGTTATGTTTCGCGTAAAAATGGGAAACATAACAAACGTGTTATTATTTTAGGTGAAGAGGCAGGCTTGAATTTTCCCCCATCTCTCTTTTTCTCGCTCGCTACTTTCTCGTATAATTTAAAGCAAATGTTTTCGGTGCATTAAATAAATGTTTCTACTTTATAATACGGAGACGCTTCGTGTTACGGCGTTCGCCATACGTTCTAAAGCTTTTAGCAAATGCGCTTAACCTGCAATAGTGTGGCGCTCTGCGAGGATTACATGGGCTCTGACACAAAATTGTGAACGTGCCACGCAGAGATGTACGAGTAGCGAACGAGGTACACAACATGCTTGGTTCATCAAATTCCTATGAATAACTACCAGGTATTGAAAGTCCCTTGTATATAAAATCCTATCGCTCTTTCAGGACCATAATTTCGATAATCCAGTTTCTGGTACACGCATTAGACACATGGAAGAATGGAAGCAACTTTATGTGGCATTAGAGAGTAAATTTGGTAGATCAGGTATTGTGCAGTTCACCAAATTATTATTAGAAGAAATAGGAAGATGAATATGTTCGTTTGATATTATAATCTGTATCATTACCTATCTATTTTGTGTACTATACCCATCCATGAATAACAAAAAAGTATAAGAATATTGTTGGTTGACAAAACACACCAATGTCGTTGATAAGCGATATTATTAATAGCAAAGAAGAAAATAAAAGAAAAACCGTAGTGATTTTTAATCTCATCCAATAAATAATACTGAACCGCATCTAATAAAAAGGCAAATATATTGTTTTTACCATAGTGGAGTAAAATTAAAGCCTGAGTTCTGCCTTCTGTCTTCCGGAGAAAATATCTTGCTGCCATCTGTCAATAAGTGGCGAAACTTATGTGTTTGGTTAGTTATAAATTGGTAATTTGATGTGTGTTGCCATCTGCAAGGTGTTGGTTTGTGAATGAATTGATTAACAAATTGTAATTTTGATACCTAAAAATCTCGCCCGGGGGAAGGGGGTTGCAGAACTTAGGGTTCTTTCTATTAAACTTTGGCTGAGCTAAAAAAGGAACTAGGCAAAAATGCAACCAATATAAATATCTTCACAGAGTTGTCAGTTGGAATAGCACTTGTCCGTCAAGGTATTAAAAGATAGATATTACGAAAATTTATCTGGATGAAACATGGTTCGATGCGAATGACACACTATCCAAAGGATTGAGTTTTTTCCAGCAAAAACTGGCAGGCGAGAGCACCTTCCAATATGTCTTAAACCTTTAATGCTCCATGTCTAACATTGTCATCTAACTCCGGTTTTATTCCTTCATTATTATATTATAGTCTACGGTAATGGTTAAGTTGTTAACAGTTAATTAAAAAAAAGGCCCATCCACAAATCAGAGTAGGCAGATAATTAAAATGATTAGCAGCTCGCTTTGACATGATTCCGAGCGCGTTTCCTAATGTCGTCCGGCCTGGTTGCCAAACTGATTAGAATTAATGTTCGGCTAGCACGTAAAGTTTCGACAGTGCGCACGACGCAAAAGTTCCGGTAATCTCCAGTGGTAATAATGTTTCGCGTATCTGCCTATCACGTTGCGGAATTTAGGTGGTCATTTAGCCCAGATGGATATCCATGATCTGTTTTAGTAGCAAACTATATCGGGTAATCGATGATTTTTTAACATTTGGGTACTTGCATTTTGGACGCAGCTCTATAGAACTAAGAAAAGCTCGTTTAAGATAATATTTTGGCATCAAAACTATTAAGTAAAACCCAAATGTAATACTAGTGCTAGACCTTTTATTAAGCAGAGGTAAAAACTGTAAATACTACAAACGACACAAAAAAACTATTAAGTAATACCCAAATGTAATACTAGTCCTTTTACTAAGCGGAGGTAAAAACTGTAAATACTACAAACGACTCTTTACAAAATTTGTAAAAATTCGCTATGGGTATCGGTATCAAAAGAGCGCAATGTCGAGAATGTTTTGAAAAATTTCAGTGGGAAGTTCGGGGACTTTATTGTTGTTGTTTTTAATGCAGTATTTCTTTTTCCGAATTTCCGAAAAAGGAAATTATTAACATTAGTTTCGGCTAAAAACAAAAAGTTTTTTTAACATCGTAATATGGCGAAAATTCAACAGGAAAACATAAAATGGCGACCAGAACGGGACTAAAAAAATATACATGTGCCAAATAGCAATTCCAATTTCACACCTATATTATTATTACATTATTCAAACAGAATAAAATAATTAAATAAAAACATTCTAGAGGCTATGCGTTCTATTTATCATAACTCGTTATTTTATAAACATTGGTGGGAAGTAAATATCAATAAAGCTCAAAATTTAGTGCCCTATTATACAGGAACGCATTTAGCTCTAGAATCGTAGACATATGATGATATCTTCTAAAAACAATATATGAAAAAATTAAGAAATCCCTCCACACTTTTTTTTTGTATGATGAAAAATCTATACCTTTTAAAGTAAAATAAAATTACCGCGAGCTCCATCCAAACAGATAAATAAGAACTTAGTCAGTGGAACCAGTTAGTCACCAAAACGTTGAATTGTGAGAAAAAAATCCCAATTCGTGAGGAAATAGTATTCACATAAATAAATTACTTTCGAAAGAAAACGTACAATAGGTGTCCGTCCCTGTCCTTCCCTACGCGTATACTTCCACCAGAAATATAGTGCTTTTACAATCGACACCGTTATTAGCTTTTCCTACTGTTTATTACTCCAAAACCGCTGCCTCTTATAGAACATCCTGCCGAGCAGACCCTTACCCTTAACCATTCCAAGACCGTCTAAGGAATTTATGAATGTTTTCATTCTTTTTCGCCCAGCAATTCTTGAATCATATACATAAAAATTAGTACAAAGTAACAATTTATTACGTTCTATTTCATTGCGTTTCTACATAGTATCATTATTAATATACAAAATACTAAATATGATAATAATAATATCAGTCACTTAAAAATCACTATCACAGTTAGACCAGCTTTTTGTTGTTTTTTCTTGTCCCCACATTACAAAGCGTTAAAAAACCGGAAATTGCTTAATTGTAAGATTCTAACAAATGTGTATCTGTATCCTTATGACGTACCTTTACCTACCGCGAATATAACCTACAGTCTTAAAAAAGACTGTTGTTGTTTACTAATCGAAGAACTACGTAGAAGACACAAAAATACAAGAAGAAGAATGTTATTATCGACCGGCACACAAGACAAAAATGATTATTTTCAAACTTACCTGTATGATATATTGAACCTTCCAGTGAAAAAAGCCTTGCAGGGTCAAGGCTCGAGAATCAGTTATATAAACAGGTACTCACTGGAAGTATCTCATTCAAATACTTCCGTAATATATACGAACATATTGCAATTTGGATTAAGAGCGATATATATCACCTGATATTAAAATAAACGCTTCTACTTATTCGAAAATATCCCGCAGTATCAATGCTTAATCAAATTAAAACCGGTCAATTTACGTTTCAAATAAAAATCTCAAGTTTCTACAAATATTCGTTACGTCCCATCTCAGGCAAGACCTGCTTAATGCAGAATAAATATCTGTCGCGATGGGTTAGCGGTTAAGGTCCTCTAAAATGCTTAAAACCTCAAAGCAATAAATGCACTATATTTTTGGTCGTACAATAACAACTGCAATTTAACCCGATCTGGCGCCGATCTTGCGGTACCAATTTCACCCACTTAATTAATAACGAAGTCGGACCGTATTTTATTCAAGTCTTTAGACTCAAAATTTCACTCGTGCAACTTTCAACTCGTTGGAAGTTGGAAATCGTAGCTTACCTTTCGTATGTCGTCTAGATTGTGAATTTCCGGTGATAAACCCCCGTGTACGCAAAGGAACTGTTGGTTCATGAGCGCCGCCAGTGGCAAGCAATCGAACGCCTCCATACACGCATCATATACACGTTCAGAATATTTTATTTTACCTGGAATGCAAAACCAAATCTTTTAGTTGCAACACCGGACATTAGCAACGACAAGAAGCGTTACTCTCCGTAATCTCTTATCATCGACCCCGCTCTTCAATACCGACAAGCGCAAAAAGAAAACTGGTGTTGGGATTTGCGACTCGTTTTAGTATCGAACCGTTAACGGAGAGTGCACCTTTTTGTCTTTCTGTGGCAACAATAAATTTCTAACCGTTACACGTTAGCAGTTTTATGTTATTTAAGAGCTGTTGTAGTTTAAAAAAACTATAAGAATATAAAAATGGGCTTGGCCAGACTCTGTCTGCGCTCCAAGAAGACGGCTTGATTGTTCGACTTCTATCGCGAGCAGGCGCCGCGGTCTAGAAAAGCACCTGTCGCTAGCCAGTTAACGCGAAAATATTGTGAACGGATATAGGAAATATAGTATGTAAACAGTTAGTGAGTCTTATTTTAGACTAAATATATTTTAAGATCCGTTTAGTTTCACAGTGACATTCAACGAACCCGAAAGAGACAATTTAAAAAAGTAACAAGTTGTGTTCTGGTATGAGTTGGATTAATAAGATACGATTCAAAATAAAATATTGCATCTATGGTCGCTTACACGTCTTTTCACTTATGTTACATCAAAGTGGTTCATAAATTAGAGTCTGAGCACTTAAATTAATGCCTAAATTTTAAAGACGTTTATAAACTAGGTACTAGGATAATCTTCACTAAAATAAATATGCGATTCGAAATGTTTGAATCAGCGGCGTATAGAGTAAGCGAAGAGAAAAATACTAATTCTGGCGTTTTTCTTTTTGTAATAAAGCATTTGGGGTCCAACTATGGTATTAATTTTATGAAATATGACCATATAGGTACTAGATAATATAACACTATTCTGATAATACTTCTAAAACCAATCAACCAAACACACGTGTCGTATCAAACCATGCTTTCAACCAACCAGTTTTCAGTTTGGCTGTGACATTTTTTTTGGCCAATAAATTTCAGGAAAAAGCGAGTTCAGTGTGTGGAGCTCTTTATTAAAAGACAATGGCAAAAAGTGCATAGTAATTCAATAGTAATTTTGTTTGCCCCTGGTGGGATAAAAAAATATATGTACGGAATTTTTACAGATATTTTGTAGTTGTAATACTGATCATTTCTGTTTATTGATGTAGTATTATAGAAAAAGGTTTTCCATTGCTTATTGCATTTCAGAATTTTCTTCTTTTCAGTAGCAGCGAAAACTCAATGCAGTTACTATATATCATTCAACAATTTATATTATGAACGATACGTTGGTCACAATTTTTTTTATACACGAGAGGACTGAGTACTCAATAAACAATTATACTTTTTCTGCCAATATTAGCTTATTAACTATCAAAACTGCCAATTGTCCAAATCCCAAAATCCGTGACTATAGTACCACAAAAGCCCGAGAGGGTTCGCAACAGTGTTTAATGACGTTTTAAAATAATATTTCGCACAAGCTTGTACGACCGCCTGTTGGTTTCCTCATCGGAATTGCAGTACATCGCAGTTTAATAGTTATAATTATTGGTTTAATAATTATTTACACTTCCTCAACCACTTCGTGTAAAGCTCGAGGCGCAAGGTTGTGAATAAACATACATATTTTATATACGTTGTACAAAACGTCAAAGTTTTTAGCTTGAAAACGACTAAATCTTTAGGACATCGTGTTCAACAATTACTTGTGTTTTTAACTCGATTTTGTGTCAGTGAAGAAATGACACGATAGCTATGACACTTCATATTGAAATTTACGCCAACCATAGAGCTGTTACTAAATGGCTATGGATTTTTAAATGTCGTAACGCTTTGTCGGCTATATTGATTACGGGCCCGCTCTCGCGACCCAAACCATGCGCCACCGTTCCCCGAATAAATCCGGAATACATTACCATTGAAATGGGGGTCAAGGTACCAACGCATAGTGAAGACCTTGCCCGAGTTATAAAATCGGGCCGGGTCAATTCACTTTTAATCCCACACTGGAAACAAACGCAGGGAAACAATAGAATGACGAGTTGGAACCGATGAGGTTTCATCGCAGTCAACATTTCTACATATAGATGATCATGTGCAAGCAGTGAACTCAATCTAAACAACGACGTAATAGAAAAGTGAGGCTATTTGAGGGAATTCTTGTCTCTGTCTGGCTCATGGGAAATGCTCGTTAATTGATTAAATTGTTTGCTGACTACTAAAATCATATGCATACAAATATTCGCAAAAAAATAATCTTAGAATAAAAATAACTTATTATTTTAATTCTTGGAAACTTATAATAATAACTTATCACAAAATAAGTACATACATAGTATTATCTATGTCTATACGTATGAAAAAGGTAAAAAAAAAATCATCATTTCAATGTTATACAAACAGGTACATAGGCAAGTCGTTGCATGACTAAAAGAATTGAAAACGTTTTCAATCCTAAGAACGGGAAAATTTAGCCCATATTTGTTCTACGATACTGGATATTAAACCAGTGTCTGGTTTGTTGTAGAATTTATTTAGGATTCGTACATATGGAAAAGTAGTATATATTTATAAAGAATCGCAACAATTGGTATCAAATATAGATCGATCGGTACTTTGGAGAAACTGGTACATCGCACTCTGTCTCGCAATGGTCCCGTTTGTCTGTCGTACCCTTTTCATCAATTCCCGAAATAAGTCCCACTATTTGTTTGGTCCTGCTGACAGAACGATTTATGAAACGAGGTTCCCCGAATTGCCCGGTTCACAACAGGTTAGTAATTAATGGAGTCTAAGGGGCAGCGGGAGTCCACCAAACAGTTAACTATTTAAAAAATCATTAAAATAAATTAAATAAAATAGTTCTTTTTTTTCCTAGGGTATTTATTTTAAATACTGATCTTATTTGGCAATAGTCGTGATTTTTTACCGGACTATTTGAAGTGGTACTGTATGTATGTTGTCAGGAGTATGAAGTATACAAGAGATTCAATTTCAAAATCGATATTTTAATATTGCTCACTCTATAAAATTAAAAATTTTCATAAATTGTGCTAAATAAGGCAGATACTGTACTTTCTCACAGTATTGTGCTCCCCTGTATACCGGGTGTTTTAAAAACTTCTATCCGAAAAAGCCTCCTTCAGAAGATAAAAGGGCCAAAACAAATTGTTTTTTATTATTTCTAAAACCGTTAATAACATTTGGACAAGTTGAGGTCATAAAAGCTAATGCTAGCAAAATTTTAAGTTCAAAATTTGTAATAGTTACATTTCCTAGATGTTTTTGAAACAATTATTATTTCCTGACATAGTTTGGTCCTCGGTATGAAAATTACTTTGAATGGAAAAGTTTTTAAAAGATACGATTTTTGTCGGAAAAATTAAAAATATCCCCAAAAAAAAGAGTTTGGGGGCAAAATAACTAAACAAGTGGCATCATCCCCCACCCCCAATAAATATACTATATATAAACTAGCCAAACTAACGTTATTTTTTAATATTCTATTCACTGAAGAAATTAGGGGAGCATTTTTTGAAGAACTTTGTATAATATATTTCTTTGTAAGTGCTTAGGTCTCTTCTTTAAAGGACACTTCCCGTAAGCGTACAGTGGATACACGTTTTTGGGAGCTTTCACCGCATCGCGTAAATGTTTAGTAATGGGTGAAAGTTTTGCCCCAAAATCTCGTGAATCTATGACAAAATTACCGCTTTTACATTTTCCGTATTCGAGGAGATTTAATTTAAAATCTTTATGAGTTCATTAATGCCGCGGATACCTCGATTAAAATTTTATGTTTCAATCCGGCACCGGGAGGGACGCGACGACGACTAATTAAAAAGTTATTTTTGGCCGCGCGAAACGACTCGAATTCGCCGTAATTCGTCCGAATGCGGCGGCAATTTAAAAGCGATAAACCGCTTCCATCTAATTACGGACGCGTTCCCTTGCGCAAAGATCTCGGCTTTGACGGCGAATTCGTCAACGCAATTGCGTATCGAGGGAAGCGGGCCGACCTATTTCCGGAAAGTGCAGCGGTAGTAGCGGGAGCGGCCGCCGCCGCCGCCGCCGCCGACGCCACAGATCCGCTCAGCGACCTGCGAAATCAGCGAGATGCTTGTCTGCGAGGCGACGGTGCATGCGATGAGCATTACGGTTATGAAAATTCCCTAGCAGACGGTGGACTGCGGCCAAAGAGCTCCAATCTCACCAGAGGCAACAGTGGCCAACCTAGTTACTTTCGAAAAACCGATGAAATCTAATTTTTCGAAAGTATACGGTCTTGGCAACGAAACTCATATATTGGAAACGGTGCCTCGTGCAGCGTCGCGTCATTGGTGTAGATAAAATCAACGTAGAAAAAAAACGTTTTTATTTTTTTGTCTGTTTGTCCGTTCTCTGTTCTCTGATCTCTGTTCTCTGTCGACGCTCCATAAAAATGCAAATAACTTCCGAACGGTATGAGCAAGGAAGGTGAAATTAAGCTCCTTTTGAACAGCCCACGGGACACATAATTCCATAAGAAATGGCCAAGATCATACTTTGGCGTCGATTTTTTTTGCGATTTTCGCGTGTTTTTTATACAGCGCCATGAAACACGATAAGTGTCCGAAATTTGCAGCTATCGATTTCAAAATTGGCACAAATATAAGGTTTAGCTCCGTAACGGGACCTATTGAAATTGGGAGGCTGGGAGGAGGTCGGGAAGTATTTTTAAAAATTCTAATATCGCATTTGCAGGGTTTCGAGAGAAAAATCATTTCTCAAAAACGATCTATGCGATCGAAGAAATTCTTGAACCAAAAGACGCGCGAGATGTGGGCCAAATCCTTTATTCTCGACGATTTTTTAAAAATGTACAGGACGCGTCAGTAATTTTGAAGAGACTGAAAATTAGGCTCCCTTTAAAATTATAATTGATAATATCTAGAAGGCTCTGATTCTTTGATCAGTTTCTTTTATATAGCCCGTATGGACGGCTAAAATTATTG